AGAACTCTACTCAAAAGTCATCTCCTCAGGGGGCCTTCCCTGATCATCCCTTTGAAAGTAAGGGAAGAAATTAGTAGTACGGGGCTGGGTGAGTTACAGATAGGGAGCATTTCACACTCACTGTTCTCACTATAATAATAAGTATACATATGTGCTCTCCCACTAGAATGTAAGTCCTTCATGGCAAGCACTGTGTTTCATATGTTCCTCTCTGCTCCTCCAGAATTGAGTGCTCAATCCATGTGAGCTGAAGTGGACTAAATACAGCCCTAGGCTAGTGGTTCTCAGGGGAGCCAGTCCTGGGTTTCCTGTCTGACTGGATTAGTTATTAAGCTACTGTCTCTTAGTCCCAAACTCTGCACTCTGCTCTATACCTGCTTTATGATGCCAGGACTCCACCAGCCTCATTTCTCTTACCCACCTGGCTCTCTATTACACTCTGCCCAGAGCGGGCACCAGATGGAGGTTGTAAGACTGGAGGAGAAGAGGGAATCACTCCTTCCTGTCTGCTTCTTATGGGCTTTTGGTTCTTGTGAGCATCACCCCAACCTCTCTTCTTCATCTGTAACAGCAACTGAATCCAGTTCAAAGTTTGTCCAACAAAGAAGCAGCCTTATTGCTTCACTCCCTCCCCTATTAAAGACGCCAGCACCAGTTGGCTGGTGCCCCCTTCTCAGAGGGCTGGATCGCCTTCTCCGAGTTCGGGGACACCAGCAGCAGCTGAGCTGAGCCCCCTCCTCAGATGTCTGAGTTTCAGCTTCATGGGCCCTTCCTCCAAGTTTCTGAATCTTAATAATTCAATCTCGTCCCTTTGTTCCACCAGCCCTGGGGGTGGTCACTGTTTCCTGTAGTTGTTACCTCCATGATAACTTAGCGTTCTCTCCTTGCCTTTTCTCTAATGGACAACTTCATACCAGTCAACACCTTCTCTATGTTTGAATAACTGGTGTGGATTCTACTTCCTGAGTGGACCCAGGAAGTAAAGAGTGAGAAATCAGACCATTCTGTCAAGTCTGGGCTCAAGAGGACCGGTGGATACTCAACTTAGACAACAAAGAGAAGCCAGGAACAATGAGGAATCTGGTGGGCTTCTTGAGGAACAAGGTAGGAGAAAACTCTGAGCCAGGACAGGGCTGGACAATAGTAACTGGTCCAAGAAATTTTCATTCATTCAAAAATATTTATTGGATGCCTCCTGTGCTTTAGGTATTCTAACTAAAATTGATGGACAGAACTGGACTCTGGGAGCAGTCATTACTGTGTTTGTAATTGGTACCATGTATGGTTCGTACTCTGAAATTATTTCCATCTACAGGAGGGAATGTTTTGTTGTACTCATGACTGACGATCAGTGACGACTCATGATGGGGAAAAAGGGAAGGAGGGATAGAATGGACACAAGATAAAGGGAAAGAACCGCCAAAGTCCTTGATAGTGGCCAAAAAACAACAACAACAACAAACCAACCCAAAAAGACTTTCAAAAAAAAGAAAAGGCAAAGGGAAGATTTACCATAAAAAACTACTTCTCCCTGACCTATACATTTTATTTGTTAAGTTTTTTACCCATTAATGCTTCTTCCTAACCCAGCTGGGTGGTGGGGTGGGAGGCAGGGGTTGGGAGAGAGCAAAGTTTCAGAGCTTCATAGACCTGGGGAGAAGAGAGCAACAGGTATGAGCAGATGCTGTGAAAATGGCTAGGGGGCATTCAGGAAGGACATTAACTCAGTGTTTTTCAGGCTTGCTTAGGAGGAGAAATCTTGCCTGAATTTCAACATCTAAAATAGATTAGAGAGGGCCACAAAGGGGGCTTCTAGGGTGCTGGCAATAGTCTATTTCTTGAACTGGTGTAGGTGACATGGGTATTGGCTTTATGATTTTGTGTGTGTGTGTGTGTGAGGAAGATTATCCCTGAGCTAACATCTGTTACCAATCCTCCTCCTTTTGCTGAGTAAGATTGGCTCTGGGCTAACATCTGTGCCCATCTTCCTCCACTTTATATGGGATGCCGCCACAGCATGGCTTGACAAGTGGTGCTTTGGTCTGCGCCGGGATCTGAAACTGCGAACCCCAGGCCCACGAAGCAGAGCACGTGAACTTAAGCACTACGCTACCAGTCTGGCCCTGCTTTATGATTATTTTTAAACTGTCCCTATATGTTTTTGTACTTTTCTGAATGTATGATATAGTTTACAATTTTTTCAAGGAGGGGAGGGTGGGGAACTCTGTGGTTAAAGAGGATCTCTTCCCTTAGCTGCCCCCAAAGCACCTCCTCAGAACCTGGAATTTCATAGGAAACACTCCGAAAACATTAGTGACCGAACCAGTCAATCAGAAAAGGCCTGAAAATCAGAAGCAGGGCCTAAAAGGACTGTGTCCAGGCAGCCCAAAAGGGTCCTGAGGGAGAAATTTGATAAGCCAGTTCTGGAAGTGTCCAGAGGAGTCACTCTCTGGGTTCAGGGGTCTACAGAACCCCCAGTTCCAACCAAGGGGTTGACTTAGGGGGACAGTGGGAACAGCTTTTGTTTCCTCAGAATCTGGAAAGGTAAGAGGGAAATGGCTTTAAGCCAGGCTGCGGATGGAACGAGGAACAAGGAAGTGAAACAGCAGCCGCTGATCAAAAGTGTGATTATTCTGTGGCGGTTCCAAACCAAACCAAGGGACCCAGTGTGATGCTAATAAAGAGCACACATAATGGTATCTCTGATCGGTTTCCTCCCATCAGTCAGAGAGTTTACAGGCCAGCTCCACCAATTCACAAATGAGCAGCCAGCATGCATTTAAAGAAGGAAGACCCGCACTCTCCATATCTTAAAATGCACATCTCCTTTGACTCTGCAACTCCACTTCTGTGTTCTCTCTTTCTGTCTCCTTCTCTGTCTCACACACACACACAAAATGATATATGTTCAAGGAGGTTTAGTGCCCAGTACGTAACAGCAAAAGATAGGAAATTAACCTAAATTCCCATTAATAGGCTAGTTAAATTATGATACATCTATAAGAGGGAAAATTATATGGCTGTTAAGTAATAAGGCAGTTCTCTATGTATTGATAAGGAATAATTCTAAAATATGTTTAAAAGGTTGAAATTTACAAAAAGCAAAGTGCAAAAGAGCATTACAGTATGCTATCATTTGTGTGAAAAATATAAACATATACATAGCTGTTTTTATTTTTTATTTGTTTTTTTGGTGAGGAAGATTAGCCCTGTGCTAACATCTGTTGTCAATCCTCCTCTTTCTGCTGAGGAAGACTGGCCCTGGGCTAACATCCATGCCCATCTTCCTCTACTTTATATGGGACGCCGCCACAGCATGGCTTGACAAGTAGTACGTCAGTCCTCGCCCAGGCTCCAAACCCGCGAACCCCGGGCCGCCAAAGCAGAGCGCACGAACTTAACTGCTACGCCACCGGGCCGGCCCTACACAGCTGTTTTTAAATGCTGCAAATATCTTTGGAAGGATCTGTGACAGCCTGATAATAGGAGTTGCCTCCGGAAAGGAGAACTGGGGAAGTGGTGACAGTGGAGGGAGAACTACGTTTCCCTGTACGTTCTATTGTACCTTTTGAATTTTGTGAATGCGTTAAGCAATTGCTTTTATTTTAAAATATAAAAAAGTAAAGAAGTCAGGCAGCTTTTCCAAAGCAAGGAGTGTTTACATTTAATCCAGACTGGGGATAGATTAGCACATCATCAGTACTCTTCAGAGAGTACAGCTTTCTGGGGACCACGGTTTTGAATTCCCCAGCTCAGTCTCTCTCCCTTGACCAGAGAGAGAATCTCTGAGAGATTCTTACTTCTCTTTATTTTTTTCTTTTTCAAACTCTCTGACTCCTTCCTTTCTTCTTGCACTTGTTATGACAGCATGCTTCATTTCACTATACTTTCATAACATGCTAACATTTCCAACTAGACCACTGGTTTCAACCTTATTATAAATGATGTTGTCGCCTCCCTGCTGAGACTAGGGAAGGCTGATTGCACTCACCCAGTTCCTGTCTCTTCTCATGTGACTAGCTTCTGGGAAGCCTCTTGGTCGCTTCATTAATCCTGCACCCTGTGGATTCCTGTAAGTTTCAGTGCCGAATGACCCTTTGTCACTTGAGGTTTCTATTCCTCCTCCTGACCTCATCCTCAATCCCTTCTCCTCCTAAATCTTGGGCTCATTTCCTTATGAGTCCTGGGATTCCCTTTCTGAGATTTCAATTACTTAAATCTCTGATCCCCTCGGCGTTCTCCCACCCTTCTCATTCTTCTGTGCCTGATTACAAACGCTCCCAGATCACTCAGATTCCAGGTGGGAGAGCACCCCTAAGTTTGACAATTTCTATCAAAGCAATGCTGGATCATGGGTCTACTTCCCCAGATATCTTTTTCCCTTCATTCCAACCTCACGAGTCAAGGAACTACATGACTTCTGATTACATTTCTTAACAGATGTCTTTCTCAGAAGAGAATATTGTGTGTAGTGGAAAGAGTCCAGAATTGAGCCAGAGAGATGGTGGTTTGAGTCCTTGCTCTGTTGTTAACCAGCTGTGTCTTGGGCAAGTTGCTTTACCTCATTGAGCCCCAGATTCCCTTCTGAAAAATAAGTGTAAGAATCCTTACTTCACAGAGTAGTAATGAGGATTAAATGATATTTGTATGTAAAGGGTGTATTTTTGTGCCTTGACTCAGACATAATGCTTAGTAAATATAGTTCTCTCTCACTGGATGGTCTCCAACCTCACTTTGCCAACTTCGTTCCACAGAAACTATGCTACATACACTCTCACTAACATATGCAGGAACATCCCACATCAGGTGTGTGTATATATATATATGTAAATCATATATATGTAAATCAACTTATATGTGTATATATACATATAAATCGATTTACTGAAAGATATATACATATTCATATGACCCAAAAGACAAGAAATTTTTTAAAAAATAGGAAAAAAAATAGAGAGAGGAGGCCTTGCAGCCGGAGCCAAGGTGAGCAGAGATGGTGGCACGGAACCTCGAATAGGAGTTGCTGCCGAGGCCGGGGCCTGTCTTTGACGATAGACAGGGGCAAACAGGCATTTCATCATGGGTAGCTTTTTCTCAAGTACTTTTTCCAGGCTGTTTGGAACCCAGGAAATGAGGATTTTAATTTTGGGGTTAGAAGGAGCAGGGAAAACTACAATTTTGTACAGATTACAGGTTGGAGAAGTCGTTACTACTATTCCTACCATTGGATTTAATGTTGAGATAGTAACATATAAGAAATTTAAATTCAAAGTCTGGGATTTAGGAGGACAGACAAGTATTAGGCCATACTGGAGATGTTGTTATTCAAACACAGATGCAGTCATTTATGTAGTAGACAGGTGTGACCAAGACCGAACTGACATTTCCAAATCAGAGTTAGTTGCCGTGTTGGAGGAAGAGGAGCTGAGAAAAGCCATTTTAGTGGTGTTTGCAAATAAGCAGGACATGGAACAGGCCATGACTCCTTCAGAGATGGCAAATTCACTTGGGTTACCTGCCTTGAAGGACCGAAAATGGCAGACATTCAAAACTTCAGCAACCAAAGGCACTTGCCTTGATGAGGCATTGGAATGGTTAGTTGAAACATTAAAGAGAAGACAGTAATTCAATCACCTCTGCTCCTCTGAAACAAAGACCACATCACATATCCCTTTGGAAACAGTGAAGTGTGCTTCACACTACTAAATGTTAAAACTGTATGATTGTTGGCATGTACTGAACTGACTGCAACATTTATAATAAATATAAAAAATAAGTATTTGCTTGGAAGGGTAACCCATCGTGATTGAACCAACTGAATGTCCTGTGTAACGTAAAAAAATCCTTTCTTGCTTTCTTGTGTTAAGGTACATATTCTCTTTGTATGGAATTCTTATTCACATATAGTCCTATTAAAGAATGTACTCTTATTGAGGAAAAAAATGCTCCTAAAAAAATAGAGAGAAGAAAAGCATGTATAGAGATGAAAGGAATGAGCAGGTAGTTGAGGAAACGAACAGCTCAGGAGAAGGTGAGGGAATGTGTGGGAATAAAAAGTAAATGGAGCTCTGATCAATAATGAGCTTACCTCCATGATAGTTTGGTAAGTATAGATTACTCACAATCTAATTTGTGAACTTGACCCATCCAGGATAATAGAAGACATGAAGGAAGAATGGAAGCTAGCCATAAAAGAGCGAGATTTGTACCTATCTAGGAACTGCAAGGAGGGAACTCTGAGCCAAAGGAGTTAAACACATTTGTTTGTCATCCCCAGTCCCAGCAGGATCAAATCACCAGAGGGCAGGACTATAACTGGAAAAAAGGATACAGAAAAAGGAAGGAATGTAAAAGGAGTGGAAAATGTGGTAGAGTTGGGTAAAATAACCCATCCTCCTCAGAGTAGGTCAAGGGTCTTCTAAGTGGTCTCCCTCGATACCTTACCATAGGATACAGACTGAAGGGATTTTGAGACTTCCCTATTCCAGATCCACTGGGTGACTTCCACTTCTGGATATAACAGAGTAACTGGTCCCAGATCAGCCCTCCCACCATAAACAACCATAAAACTGGACAAAATAAATGACACAACTGTTTTCAGACAGTGGATAATAGGCAATGCAAGACTACAATCCCCAAGAGAAAGAAAACCCACAAGGTGAACACCATGACCACCCCGGGGACAATTCTGTAACTGAGGCCAGAGGATTAAAGTCTAATCTAAGAATAACAGTCTTGCTGAGCTGAAGAGTCAGGGTTCAGAGTTTGGAGCAGCTGGAACAACTGGAATTTTGCAGAACAGGGCAATGAATAAGAGAGACGTGCATATAAGGGGCCCAAAAATTGTCTTTGGGTCACCCATGAGGGCTTGGATGAGGGCTGTATATGCACAGGTCAAGACTACACAAGATTATCCCTGAGACTGATATAGGCCTGAGAATGGAACAGAGATATAAGAGGTCAAGAAGTCCTGAAAATATTGGAAATCCATACCAGCCAGAGTGGAGAGGGTCATTAACACCTTGTTAACATCTTGGGCATCAGGCTGAGACATCAGAAAAGCTGTGCTTTAGGAGCAAGGACTACATCCTAGAGTAAGGCCTATCATAGACCCATCCGAAAAAAACTAAAGTCAAGCTCTGAAAAAATGTCTAAGAGACAGAGTTTGAAGGTTGAGTCCCATGAAGTCAGAGCACTTGGAAAATAACTTGGGCTTTTTATAGATTTGCCATAACAAAGCATAAAATTAAGTCAAGACAAATTCAAGAGGACCAACCAGTGATTGAACTGTTTGCTAGAACAAAAATCAACTCTCTCAACACTCTTCTGAGGAAAACAAGAGATTCCATAGTCTCTAAAATGTGTCACTGACAATGTCCAATAAAGAATAAAAAATTACTAAATGTGCCTCCCCCCAAAAAACAGAACAAAACCAGAAAAATGTGACCATGGTCAAGAAAAAAATAGGCAATAGACACTGACACAGAGGTTACCCAAATGTTAGCAGACAAACACTAAAAATACGATAACTATGTTCAAAGAACTAAAGGAACATATGTTCATAATGAGTGACAAAATAGGCAATCTCAACAGAGAAGTAGAAGCTATTTAAAAAAATGAAAATTTTAGGGCCGACCCGGTGGCTTAGCGGTTAAGTGCACGCACTCCGCTACTGGCGGCCCGGGTTCGGATCCCAGGTGTGCACCGACACACCACTTCTCCGGACATGCTGAGGCCGAGTCCCACATACAGCAACTAGAAGGATGTGCAACTATGACATACAGCTATCTACTGGGGCTTTGGGGAAGAAAAAAAAGGAGGAGGATTGGCAATAGATGTTAGCTCAGAGCCAGTCTTCCTCAGAAAAAAGAGGAGGATTAGCATGGATGTTAGCTCAGGGCTGCTCTCCTTCACAAAAAAAAAAAAAGAAAAAGAAAAAAAAATGAAAATTTTAAAACTAAAAATTACAATAACTGAAATAAAATATTCATTGAGAGGAACTGAAAGCACACTGACAATGGAAAAAGAAAAAGGCAGTAAGCTGGAAAACAAATCAATAGAAATTATCCAAACTGAAGAATAAAGAGAAGAAAAATACTGCAGAACAATGAACAGAACCTTAGGGGCATATGGGAAAATATCAAATAGTCCAACATACATGAAATTGGAAAGCCATAAGAAAAATTGAGGATAAATACAAAGGAAACTACACCTATGCACTTACTAGTCAAACTGCTAAAAACCAAAGGTAAACAGAAAATCTTGAAAAGAGCCAGAGAATAAAAGACACATTACATACAGAGGAACAATAATATGAAATATCACTGACTTCTAATCAGAAGCAATAGAGACAAGAAACAATGGAATGAAATCTTTAAAGTTCTAAAAGAAAATATTGTCAACATAGAATTTTATATCCATTGAAAATATACTTCAAAAACTAGAGAAAAACAAAGATATTTTCAGAAAAATGAAAGCTCACAGAATCACAGCCAACATATCTGCATTATAAGAATTGCTAAAGGATATATTTTATGCTAAGAGGAAATATAAGATAGAAACCCAGATCTATAGGAAGGAATGAAGAGCAGCAGAAATGGTAAATGAACGGACAAAAATATTAAAATTTATAGCACTTTTATCTTTTCTGAATTTTCTTAAAAGACAACTGACTAGAGAAAATAATAAGATTGTAAGGCATTTATAATGTATTAAGAAAATATAACAATAGCACGTTGGACAAAGGGAAGTGTGTAAACGAAATTGTGTTGTTGCAAGGTCATTACATTAGTGAAGTAGGATATGTGAAGTGGGAGTGTCAGGTGTGAAGAGAGAAACAGGAAATGTGAAGTGGAAACTGTGAATTATAAAGTGTTAAGGGGTACGATATTGACTCTAAATAGACTTTTGTAAGTTAAAGTGCATATTATTAACCCTAGAGCAAGCACTAAAATATAATAAGATAAATAGCTAAGCAGCCAATAGAGAAAAATAAAATGGAACGTTAAAAATTATTTATTTAACCATGAGAAGGTGGGTAAGTAATAAGAGAAGAACAGAAAACAGAAGGAACAAATGGAAAACAAATATGAGGTAGATTTATACCCTACCATGTCAATACTTACATTAAATGTTGAAGGACTAAACACTCTAATTAAAATGTAGAGATTGTCAGGCTAGGTTTTTTTGGGTTTTTTTTTGCAGGGTAAGATTCACTCTGAGCTAACATCTGTTGCCAATCTTCCTCTTTTTTTTCCCCTTTCCAAAGATCCAGTACATGGTTGTATATACTAGTTGTAAGTTGTTCTAGTTCTTCTATGTGAGCCATCACCATAGCATGGCAACTGACAGACGGGTGGTGTGGTTCTGCAACCAGGAAGCGAACCGGGCCACTAAAGTAGTGAGCACTGAACTTTAATCACTAGGCCATCAGGGCTAGCTCCAGGCTAGATTTTTTAAAAAGACCCAACTAGATGCTGTCTACGTAAGATATACTTTAAATATAAAGATTGATTGAAAGTAATAGGATGGCAAAAGCTGTACCATGCCAACAGTATGCATGAGAAAGCTGGCATGGCTATATTAATAACAGACAAAGCAGACTTCAAGACATTATAAGAGATAAAGAGGGATGTGTCAGAATGATAAAAGAGATAATTCACCAGGAAGACATAACAATGTTACATATGTATAAACTTAATAACAGAGCTTCAAAATTCATGAAGCAAAAATAACAGAACCAAAGAAAGAAATAGGGAAACTCACAATCATAGTTGAGTATTTTGACACATTCCTCTTTCAGTAATTGACAAAATAAGTAGACCAAAAAAATAAATCAGTAAGTGCACAACTTGAACTTGAAACAACTTGAACTAATTGGTAACTATAGAACACTATGCCAAATAACAGCATAGTAAACATTCCTTTCAAGGAAATATTGGCCAACAAAATAGAACATATCTTGGGTCATAAATTAAGCTTCATTAAATTTTTCTTTTTTTTAGTGAGAAAGATTGGCCCTGAGCTAACATCTATTGCTAATTTTCCTCTTTTGCTTGAGGAAGATTGTCCCTGAGCTAACATTTGTGTCAATCGTCCTCTATTGTTTTTGTATGTGGGATGCCACCACAGTATGGCTTGATGAGCAGTGTGGAGGTCCACGTCCAGGATCTGAACCCGCAAACCCTGAGCTTCTGAAGCAGAGTGCGTGAACCTAACCTTTATGCCACTGAGCCAGCCCTTCATTAGATTTTAATAGATGGAAATCTTATGTAATATGTTCTCTGAATACAATGAAATTAAATTAGAAATCAATGAAAATAAGATATCTAGAAAATTCCCAAATATTTGTAAATTAAATTTCATGCTACTAAATAACACCTGGGTCAAAAAGACATCATAAGGGATAATAGGAAATATTTAGAATAAATGATAATAAAAATGCAACATATATAAATGTGTAGGATTCAGCTAAAGCAGTATTTAGAGGGAGATTTATAGCCTTAAATGTCTATTTTAGGTAAGAAAAAAGGTTAAACTCATCCTTAAGAAACTAGACATAGAAGAGCAAATTAAATCCAAAGTAAGTAGAAGAAAAAAAAATAATAAAAGTAAGAACAGAAATCAAGGAAACAGAAGCCATATAAACAATAGAGAAAGTTAACAAAGCCAAAAATTGATTATTTTGAAAAATTAATAAAATTGATAAGCCCCTAGAAAGATTAAAAATAAACACAAAAAAATATAAATTCCAATATCATGAATGAAAAAGGGCTATCACCATAGATCATACAGACATTAAAAGGATAATAAGGGAATATTATGAACAATTTTATGCCAATGCAATTTGATTACTTAGATGAAATGCATATACTCCTTGACTAGCAGAACTTACAATAACTAACTCAAGAAGAAATTTTAAAAAATCTGTATATTCCTATATG